ATGATACTAAAAATGACTAAGAACCTCCTACTGTGTCTATTTAATCATTTCCAAGATGATTAAAACCCTCCCACTGTATTTTGGAGCCTTCTTTCATCGAGATGAGATTCAATGACTTCATCCGATCAATCTTGCCTCACGAAACCCCCACAGTTAAGTTGTGAAGTGTTTGATGATTTATGGTCCTCCAATACAAAATCCCTCACTAATCGAATCAATCGACAATGGGTCCACAAAATTCTTTTGGCTAAGTCCATCCAATTCCCACCGTGTCTGTGTACTTAACAATCCCACCGTTAAAGTCATGACACAACACTTGAAATCTTAATCTGATGATCTATGATGATCATCAGGCCCCCTTCGTGTTAATATTTTATCACTTGGCATCAAAACCCCTACTGAGTGATGTGTACAAATCAACATTCTCATTGTTATTTGTAACTTCACTCTCATTGTTTCTTGGTCAAACCTATTAAAGTCAGGGCCAAAGTCATAATCCCCTCTCGATTCCTTCAATGAACGAGATGTCTATTTTCAAACAGGAATTTCCTTTCAATAAACGAAAGGCCTCCACCCAATTTGAACGATCAAAACTATAAAAGTTAGGGTCGTCTCAATCCTTCACTTGGTTAGACCTTCCCACGGTTTCGATCAAAATTAGAATTTTATCTCGATAAATGAGAAATTTATCTTCCAATCGGGTAACCAATCCTATAAAAGTTAAGAGTTATCCAGATCTCTTCGATTCTCAGAGTGAAGATCTCACTCTTAGTTTCACCATTCAAGAGTCTCGAAGTGGAGATCTCACTCTGAGTTTCTTTCACATGAGATAGAATATAAAATTCTTCCTCTCCAGTATCATCTTGATAAACGAGAAATCTGTTTTTAGACCAGATAACCAATCCTATAAAAGTAAGTGTTACCCAAATCATTTTGATTCTTAGAGCGAAAATTCCACTCTAAGTTTCTTTTACAGGAGAGAGAATATAAAATTCTTCCTCTCTCGCATCGGGTTCGTCTTTACCCCAAAAGAAGACATGGAGATAGAATATAAAATTCTTCCTCTCCAGCTTTGGGTTCGTCTTTACTCCAAGAGAAGACATAATTTTTCCACACAATCAAAATCCATGTCTCACACGTATGGGGAATTTTATCCTGAATCCTAAGTAGGGATAAGTAAACTCCTAATACGTCGTTAATGGCATTTGTGAAGCATTCTCGACCCATTTTCAACACATTTGAGCACTCCGATGAGTATATGAGTATAAACTGCATCTCCTTGAACCTCCAAATAGATACACGAGGTTAAACTGTTTCCCGAAAACTTCGAGGAGTACACGAGTATAAACTGATTCTCCGAGTACACGAGTATAAACTGATTCTCCACGCTCCAACGACTCAAGAGCCTAAACTGTGTAGACTGCAGTTAACATATGAGTATAAACTGTGTTTCCCTCGCAATGAAGGTCGACACCAGTAAAAACGTCGATAACTTCAGTTCAAGATTTCGACAACTGTCTCGAAAACTTACAACTGTCTCGGAAACTAAGGTGATATAGATGATGATTTTTTCTCAAGATTCGTGCGTGTCACGTGGCTCCATAACTGCCAAAGATCGTGTTTGAACGTGGAGGAAAAATTACAAGTGGGAATCACGCCTACAACCGTAAGAATCATGGCATTAAAACGTGAGAGGCAGTTACAAGAGGGCTGAAATAAAGGAAGCTTCCGAGACAGTTGTAACTGTCTCTTGTAACTATCTCGGACAACTGTCTCGGAAATAAAAAGTTAATCATGCTTCCGAGACAGTTACAACTGTCTCGGAAACAGAGCTTCTTCAATACAACTTATTTTCGACTTCTAACTTCAGTTATTGTTCCTAAGGGCTAAAAATACCCACCCTAGGACCATATGGCCTTATAACTTGACGAAAAACATGATATATTTGATATTTGAATCAACCCTATAACTTCAAGAAAATGATTCTGCACAATACAAAGTTATAATTTCTATGATATTTCACACTTTATTGGAGGAGAGAACCTCAGATCCCTAACATCCAATTTAGATCATACAGCCTCACTGAAAATTAAGCCCTTTTCTCTTCTCTTAGTATTAATGACAAAGGAAACTAATTCGAGTCTATGGTTTGCCTCCACTCTCACGTTATATTATCTCGATGAAAAATGTTCTATGCCAGTGATATGAATTTGATAATTTCATTGTCTTGTCATACCTATTACTCTATTGCAACTTTATTTATTTATTTGTGTATTAGTTGTTAATGGGGTAAATATATAATGCAAATATCAATATATTCTCCTAGTATTAATGACAAATGAAACTTTGCCTTCTGGTTGCATTTGGGAGAAGAGAAAAGGGCTTAATTTTCAGTGAGGCTATAAGATCTAAATTATTTGAGTCTATGGTTCTTATCTTTTATGAATTGTAATAAATTATTTGAGAAAATAAATTAAGTTGTTCATTTTATATGTCTCACCTTTATGAAGCATATAATTATTAGATTCTTTTAACTCAACCTAAATTTTTGGATATTATTCAATATTGGATAGATCTAAATTATTTTGTTAAAATACAATCCTTATGTGTACAAAATATGTTTAAACTATTCTAAGATTATATTTTTATAGTTTTCTAAAATTAGAGAGTAATCCTTTTGATAAATTAATTAATTAGTTGAGAAGATGTAGGAAGATTATAATATCACATTTTAGAATTGATCACATAATATATATTTTCTTTCTTGATTGAATTTGCACATTCTAATTTTGAAACTTTTAGAAATTTTTTTTTGAATATCTAGAACACTTGGTCACCAGATAATAGAAAGTGAAATTAGACAATAGGTGAAAATGATTTCTTTATAATTAAACAAAATCCTCTATGACCAGATAAACCTACCATTTTACGTTGATGAATTCAAGATTTATTTTTTTCATTAATAATAGTAGTTTTTTAGATATTGGTGCTTACATCATTAATATTTTAAAATTAGAATTCCAAATCATTAAATTGCTCTAGTTTTTTAGATATTGGTGCTTACATCATTAATATTTTAAAATTAGAATTCCAAATCATTAAATTGCTCTTAGATCATTAATATTATTTTAAAATTAGAATTCCAAATCATTAAATTGCTCTTAGATCATTAATATTTTAAGACTTTAAACCTCATTATTTATGTGAAAGGTAAAGTATTGAAACCAACAAGATTTTATATATTAAAATATCTGAAACTTTTTAATATATTATGATAATCATAAACTTTCTTGCAACTATATTATAGTAAATACATAAACTAAAAATCAACAACTATAATATTTGACTATGTGCATTGCATGTGCATTCCACCTAGTACCTATATAAAAGATCATCAATACACAACAATAACTGAAGACGTAACTTCGTTCAAACACAGGTTGGATGAGCTCCATGAAAGCCGTTGCACCTTATTTGGGCATGATTGTAAGCCAATTAGCTTACAGAGAAACCAACATCTTAGGCAAGCTCGCCATAGAACGAGGACTCAGCTGCTTCGTCCTCACCGTCCGTCTATCGCCATGACGATATTTGGTCCCCTCTCCTTTGTTCTTGAAAGGTCAGACCATCGATACAAAAGTTTATTTTTGCTCATTTGATACCCTGATGTTTCAGGAAATTGAACTTTTGTGCCTTTTCTCCCGTTGGTCAAACGTTGGCTTTTATATAGGAAACAAAGGCCACCTCTTTCATTGTCGATACTCATGAAGATCTTCGTCCTCACGTTGTTTGCAGCATCGATACATCTGAATCTATTCTATGTAGGGCTTAATTATAAACCGCCAACTGCGGCAAGTGCTTTGAGCAGTGCAATTCCTGCTCTTACTTTTACCCTGACTGTCTTGTTTAGTTGAGCTCATATACAAAAGCATCTCAAGATAGTTCGTACACATTATTCATAATTAAAATAATTACATAATTTTAATCAAATTAAGAAAAAGTATGCACATAAATTTATTGAGACTGGTTTATAGAATTTTTATTTTTTTTTACCAAGATGGAAAAGGTCAGGATTAAAATGCAAAGGGGAGAGCAAAGTTAATAGGAGCTTTAGTTTGTATTACTGGAGCTCTTTTATTTACTTTTTGGCAAGGCCTTCTCCTCCCCGGTATTTGTTAAGATGCTTTTGATTACAGTTCAAGGAAAAAACTCTAGCTATGGATCAAAACATTATAAAGATGATTGGATCAAAGGTTCCCTTCTTATATTCATCGCCAATGCCACATTTAATATATGGTTCATTCTTCAGATTAGTCTCCTTCAAATGTATTGCTATATTCCTTCTCACCATTGCATACTTCGGTTAAAGAGCTTACGAAAATTGAACCAAAAAGCTTTGATGATTTTTCTGCAAGCAAAGGTTTGCGAGGTTTATCCAGCAAGATTATCGATGAACACCCTGATCTGCTTCTTCGCATCCCTTCAGTCTGCAGCAATTGCCCTCATCTTTGACAAGAATGCATCTTCTTGGAAATTAGAATGGAACATGCAACTTAAAACAGTCATATACTCGGTATATAACTTAATTTGTCCTCTCATTATTAACAAAAACCCTTATTGATTCTCGAAGATTTCGGTAATAAGTTATACCTTTGTGCAGGGAATTGTGATATCTGGCCTTTCATATTACTTGCAAACTTTTTGTATCAGCAAAAAAGGACCAGTGTTTGTTGCTATGTTCTCTCCACTAAACCTTGTTCTAGTGGCAATCTTCTCTACTTTCTTTTTCACTAAAAGACTTCATTTGAGCAGATATGTAGAAAAAACATACTACACACCTGCTCAAATGAAGTCTTTCAGCGAAAAAGAAAACAGATAAGAGTGCCACTAGAACAAGGTTTAGTGGAGAGAACATAGCAGCAAACATTGGTCCTTTCTTCTTGATATAAAAACTCTGCAAGTAATATGAAAGGCTAGATATCACAATTCCCTGCACAAAGCCGAAATCTTCACGAATCAATAAGGTTTTCTGTTAATAAATGAGAGGACAAATTAAGTTACATACTGAGTATATGACTGTTTTAAGTTGTATGTTCTATTCTAATTTCCAAGAAGATGAATTCTTGTCAAAGATGAGGGCAACTGCTGCAGACTGAAGGGATGTGAAGAAGCAGATTAGGATGTTCATCGATAATCTTGCTCGATAAACCTCACAAACATTTGCCTGCAGAACCAAAGCTTTTTGATCAATCTTCGTAAGCTCTTTAACCGAAGTATGCAATGTGTGAGAAGGAATATAGCAGCACATTTGAAGGACTAACCTGAAGAATGAACTATACACTAAATGTGGCATTGGCGATGAATATAAGAAGGGAACCTTTGATCCAATCATCTTTATAATGTTTTGCGATGAATATAAGAAGGGAACCTTTGATCCAATCATCTTTATAATGTTTTGATCCATGGCCAGAGTTTTTTCCTTGAACTGTAATCAAAGGCTTTGATCCAATCATCTTTATAATGTTTTGATCCATGGCCAGAGTTTTTTCCTTGAACTGTAATCAAAGGCCTCTTAACAAATCCGGATAGGAGAGGGCCTTGCCAAAAAAATAAATAAAAGAGCTCAAGTAATGCAAACTAAAGCTCCTATTACATTTGCTCTCCCCTTTGAATTTTTAATCCTGACCTTTTCCATCCTGGTAAAAAGAAAAATAAAAATTCTATAAACAAGTCTCAATAAATTTATGTGTATACTTTTTCTTAATTTGATTAAAATCATGTGATTATTTTAATTATGAATAATGTGTATGAACTATCTTGATATGCTTATGTATATGAGCTCAACTAAACAAGACCGCTAGGGTAAAAGTAAGAGCAGTAATTGCACTGCTTAAGCACTTGCTATAGTTGGGGTGTATAATCAAGCCCTACATAGAATAGATTTAGATGTATCGATGCTCCAAACAACGTGATGACGAAGATCTTCATGAGTATCGACAATGAAAGAGGTGGCTTTTGTTTCCTATATACAAGCCAATGTTTGATCAACGGGAAAAAAGGCACAAAAGTTCAATTTCCTGAAACATCAAGGTATCAAGTGAGCAAAAATAAACTTTTATATCGATGGCCTGACCTTTCAAGAACATAGGAGAGGGGACCGAAGATCGTCATGGCGATAGACGGTGGGGACGAAGCAGCTGAGTTCTCGTTTTATGGCGAGCTTGCCTAAGATGTTGGTTCCTCCGTAAGCTAATTGGCTTGAAAACTCAGATCAGAAGCTCAACAACCGCCAATCTGAATAAGAGCTCTAATATCAATTGTTGGGGGGCGAGGGACGCCCACACCGTCACGGAAGCTAGATCACCTCGAGAGAAAACAACCAACACAAGCAATAACGTAATCACAGATAAAACAATAAGAAAGGGGACGAGACAACATATTTACGTGATTCGGCAAACTTGTCTACGTCCACGAGAACCGCACAAATAATTTCTTATTTAACCACAAGAAATTACAAAACTTACAAAAGAGAAGATCTCAAACTTGAGATCTCTTACAACAAACAACTCGTCACGGTAGCAAATGCTACAGGACTTGTGCAAATTTTTCTTGACCGAAAAATTCACTTCTCAAAACCCTTGAGAAGTGTCGCCACCACAGTGTTTTTCTCCTCTGAAAATCGCGGGATGAGCTCTATTAAATCTCATGAATAGGGTTCCCTTTTATAGGGAAACCCTAGGCCACATGCTCTCCACGCTGGGAATCAGGCGGAGCTCGAAACCATCAGGGGAGCTCTACACACAAGCCAAGCGAGCTTCCTCGCCTCGTTCTCTTCAAGCTCCAGCTGGATCCCACCACGACAGGCGATAGGAGGCAAGCTTCCTCGCCTCTCTACGCTCCTCGCCTCTCTACGCAGGCAAGCTTCCTCACCTCTCGCAAGCGAGCTTCCTCGCCTCTCCACGCAGGAGAGGTCCGTTCTCTTCATGATGATAGCAATCCTTGTACAAGTGATACATAGTTCACTTATTCCTTCATAGAAATTGAAACGGAAGATAATGTGCGCCCATCACTCCAGATTGTTGTCACTAATGAGAGGGGCTACAATAGGGTTCCAATTGACAATGATTCTAATATACCCCCAGGGTCATGCATAGGGTACTGCTCGAATGGTCAAATAAAATTCTGGTACTGTACGACTTTAGTTTCCTTGAGGATCTGCCAGAAGTTTTCAGACCATTTGGTTCAATGGTGAAGAAAACGCGGCAGGAGGCTATCACTCTGTTCTCTTGCTTGGATGCATTTTTGAGAGAGGAACCTTTAGGGTTAGATGATATGTGATTAGTGATCTCTTTGCCTTGTGATATGGAGCGAACTCAGCAAAATCTCCAAGCTGTGCATTAGATTTTCAAGGAAGAAAACTATGTCATGCAATAGTCTTAAATTTTCAAATCTCCATAGTTTTAAATGCTAGCTTATTATAGTCACAAACATGAAACATCACTCATGGTAACATATGATATCTATTAGAATTAGTACTAGAAATCATGAAAGGGATAGCATATGCTTTAGAATAATTCTAAGGGCACATACTTTTTCCCAGACCATGTAAGAAGTCAATGAATCGCTCTACCAGCGAATTTTCCAAATGCAAACAATCTTCTGCCATCATCTCCAATAATACGCTCATAATCATATAGTGACACCCTTTCAGATAGAATCTATAAGCATCATCTCCAATAATACGCTCATAATCATATAGTGACACCCTTTCAGATAGAATCTATAAGCAAAATAATTATTCCCATCGTGAGGCCATCAAAATCATATAGTGACACCCTTTCAGATAGAATCTATAAGCAAAATAATTATTCCCATCGTGAGGCCATCAAAGAGAAACAGTAATCCAACACGTCATAACATATTTACCTTATCTAACAAAGGCATGTTTTCACTCTGAGCCTTGTGGGTGTGGGAAAAGTATGCATGTGCTCCATTTGGCAGAATCATCTCCAGCTGTGATGAATGAATTAGCTATGAATTTACACATTTTATATAGCATTGGACTTGAAAAATATCTTTTTACCTTTGGTTGCTTGACTCCTAAAATGAGACCACATTCAGATAGATCGATCATCTGATACTTCACAACCAACATCCTCATATTGTGGATCATAATAGATACGTTTAGTGCTTGGTTGAATTATTATACGATCTAACTCCATTTCCGTTTCCACTGAGTAGAAGGCGAGCAGTAGAAGGCGAGCACATTGGGCATGGGTTAATGGAGCTCTCCTTTCCCATACATTACAAGACTCAGATAGGATACACACAACTCCATTTCCCAACATGATGTCACATCCTATCATTTCAAAAGTTTCAAATTTTTAAAACATGATTATATCTTAACAGAAGATTTGTATCTTTAGGCATTAAACAAAAATAATACAAAATAAAAGACCCCAAATTGAAAGGGGAGTTGCATAAAAGAATGGCTGAGGCTACTACTTTGGACATAAATCTCAAATGTTAGTGTTGTGAATAACTTAACCAAAAATGTATACGAGGAAGCTCTGTTTTTTTAGATAATATATATGAGTAAGCTTAAGCAAGCATACCAGCCATTCAACACTAATCAATACCAAATCAATAATAAAAAAAGAAACGAAGGTTCCAAGTCTTAGGGTCAGCCAAAAAAATAGCAAAACACCTAAGAATTGTTCTCCTTTCTCCACAAACATATCAATGATGAATCATATTTATGTTCAGATGGCATTCTTCAAGGAAAAATTTACGTATCATTCTCATTCTTACATTTGCGAGCGTTAGAGAATGAAGTGAGGATGAAAATCATTTTTATTTTTGGTATCGAAAATTAATAAGCAATTAATGCATTATTTCAAGTTAATGCATCCTGTTTTATGTAATGCTGTCACAGGGTCAAGTGAAAAAATTAATATACGATGGGGTTTTTATGGATTTTCCTTCTTGGTTTAGCTGAGAGTTTCAAACTTTTTGGGAATTAAGTAAAAACTCCCACACTCATGGGGGCTTTGTGAAATTTACCTTACAAGTATAATTAATCACTGACATAAAAAGGGCTAAAATAGATAACTTTAAGATTGCCCAAAACAGAAAACAGAGCTCAAATTATCTGCATTAACTGGAAATTACTCAATTTGGGTTTTTTTATCAGGACCTCGAACTAAATTTAGCGCACTAATTCATACCTGCAACAAAATTTTGAAGAACCCACGAACCTTTGACTGCTGTAACCTCGAAGTAGAGGGGAGAGAGAGAGTAAGAGAGAGAGAGAGGGAGAGAGAGTAAGAGAGAGAGTGTGGTGATTGTTTTACAAGAGATTTGAGTAGAGAAAGTTGGGTTTTTTTTATACAAATATGGGTGCTTACAAAGTTTGAAATCACTCTTCTGAGAGTAAAAGGGTCAAAAAACTTTGACCAGGAGGTCTATTTGTCCAAAATGAAATCTCTTTCTCTGAGGGAGTAAAATGGTCAAAAAAAATTACTCAGGTCTCTGTCCGCAACAGTAGAACTACAGAGGGCCTATCGAAAATGGGGAAAGTGCATGGGTTCTATCAGCAATTAATAGAAATGAAGTCATAAACATGCAACTTGAGATCTAATTAGAAAAACTAGTTGTATTGTATGCGGTTATATCTACTTACACAATTCAAAGACTTCACTGATGACTTTGCACATAGATCCAATTTTCAAACAAGTAAATCCATTTTTTTTAAGAAGAAATAGCTTTTAGGCTGAGGAATCTAACCTTAGGGATCAACCTAGAGCTATGGAGTGATCATTGTAGCAATCAAGGTAATCCGCAACACCTAAGAAGAATGAAGAAGAGATTTTTAAAGATAGAAAGAGGAAGAAAATGTAGGGTTTAAAAAATGAAAGGAACTGAGGTACCTGAGAGTCGAAAGGAGAGTGATGGCGATGAGACCGATGAGGAAGAACACACGAACGAGGTCGGAGACCAGATTGGGGACGACGATGAGGTCAGTAGTGAGCTCAACAACCAGATCGACAATGAAATCAGAGCTCGACGATGAGCTTAGCAACGAACTCGCCGACGAGAATGGAGATGAGATCTAAGATGAAAACAGCGAAGAGATTGGCGACAATAACAGCGACGAGTTCGGTGATGAGATCGACAACAAGACGATGATTTTGGCCACGGCGATTTTAGGGAGCGGAACTAGGTTTTTGCTTTTGGGGATTTCTGTGAGAGGGGCGACGATTTAAAGAGAGAGAGAGAGAGAGTGTGTGTGCGCGTGCGCGTGCGCGTGTGAGATTTAGTTTAAGCGGTCAGATGTTCACTAAACCCGAAACCCGCCTATAAAATGAACCCAAGCAAAATTGTTGAGCCTAGTTATGTTCCGAAAATGAAGAGAGCGTGCTCCAACAAACTGATTTAGGAGCACCGTTGTCATGTTCCCCAGCTTCGGTGCTCCAACAAACTGATTTAGGAGCACCCTTGTTATGTTCCGAAAATTATGACCGGGAATTTCTCTCTCTCATTCCACTATTTAAAGGATATGCGGTTTTCTTGGTGTTCCACGCCTAGAACTGTAAATAAGGAGAACTTTAGGGGTGATTTAGGAATTAAATGCATCAATAAAATAAAAGGGATAAAATCAGATCTTTGAAAATAGTTATAATTATCAGCTTGGTTTAGTATCCTATAGATTTTCTATGTAGTTTCCTTATAGATTTTTTTTTGGAATCGCAACATTATCTTTTCATGTTATATGTTCAACAATTAATAATTTTTGAGATAATTTCAACATAGCAATATTATGTTTTTATAATTATGAAGGAAGAAAGTTATAAAAAATCATAACCATTTCTTTAAGTTATTTATCGATCAATTATTTTCAGATCATCTAAATTCTTCTTAAACGTTATAAAATTTTGAAAAAATTAATATAATACTAGGTTGTTTTATTGGCTTTTTGCAAAAAGGGTGAGAATGATATATTACAGGTTCTTAATCTCAATCAAAGGGTTAGTTTAGAAACTTAGAAATTAATCAGATTTAGTTTTGGTCGGGTTATGTTTAATTAGCCTAGATTAGATTATACTAGTTTCTGCGTGAAGTAGCTTTAAATTGAACTTAGTTTGGCTAATTTTTAAACAAAACTCTCTAGAACTAAATCTTGTTTGGTAAATACAGCTATATATAAAGAGAGAGTGCTAATTGATGATCAAATATATTCTGATAGAATGACAATTTGATAATCAAAGATATTTTCCTTTCCTTTATCTATTTTGGGCCAAACTTATCCGGTTCTATTTCAAACAAGGGTGGCGTGGGTGGGTGGGGTTTTTTTAGGAGGTTGGGGGGTGGCAACGGTGTGAGTGGTTGAGTATCCTAATAGAATTAGTTTAGCTAAACTATTTCATGAGAAAGACTACGGATGAGTGAGAGACCTGTACGCTTGTGCAAATTTGTTCATCTATGCAAACTTCATGTCATTAATTGTCGGCTAGAACCAGGACGATGGCTTGACAAAACTAGTACGGATTTTATACAGGGTCAGTACAAGCCAGCACTAGGCTGTCCTGTTTGCAGCAAAGTTTCGATCTGTTACCTTTGATCCCTTTATGTATTCAAAAATGTTGTTTTGCTCACGCTTTAACACGCGAGCCAACTCGCACAGAGAGAAGAGGGTGGGACCCACTGTGCCAGTGGGGCCCACCCCTCCTCTCTGTGCGAGTTAAAGCGCGAGCCAAACAGCACAGCCCTTATGTATTTGTCGTTGCCACTACCTTCGACAACTACAAGGACCATGACTGTAAGTCTGTAACCGTATTCAGTGGGGATGGGAGTCCTGGGGATGGGAGTAACATGCCCTTCCGATGCCTTTCACTGTAACTGTGCCTGAAAATGATGGTATCTGCAGAGATCTCAATCGAGCTTTAAATGTTGCATGCAGCTTGACGAGTTCAGTAGGTTTATTGTTAGCAGAAGTAAAATTCTTATTCTTTCATTTCTTTATTAATTTTCTCTGCTAGAAGACCATTCTCATATAAGAAATCTGTCATTATGCAGGTTTATAAAAATCGGATTTATCGCTACTTAGATTTTTTCGACTCGCTATCCGGTATTAAGAATGAAGAGTGCCTGGTGGCTTATAAACTTCCAGCAAACTATAAGGACTTTGTGAGGCTGGAGATAGTGCATCAGAGAACAGAGAGGTAACCGGTCTGGGATTAAGGAAATGTAATTTTTAGATTCTATTAGCAAGTGCTCAGTTCTTAACATGGTTATAAGGCTATGCATAACTTAGAGTATTATTATTTTTAATTGCCTTATAACAATATCAATTTCTGTTGCATGCTGGTGCATACTCTATGTTAATGTTTGATATATGAATGACTTTCTTATGCCTGGTTTAAGATTTTGTCATATTGTGAAATAGAGTTCTAGTTTCACATGAAAAAGCATGCCATAGGGAATTGTGAAGATTTTACCTGTATACATATATATATGTATATACATACATAGATATAATATTTGTAAAGGATTTGATTTTATTTGTGTGATTATTCAGTTTCATGTTTAGACTAACAGACTTTTTCAGGCCTCAGGAGCCTCAATATAATTTGTTTTCTCCAAGTTTTCTTGGAACCCCTCTTGTGACTTGCCTTTCAAAGGAACCTAAAACTGGAGCAGACATTCATGCTGCAGTATGTACGCTGCTTTCAACTCTATTGCGAGGAAAAACTCTCATGAAGTACGCAAAAGTTAGCAAGGAAAATGGCTATTTATCGAGTTTAGATGGTGTCGTTCCAGGTGATGTGTTGGGGGGGCGAGGGACGTCCACACCGCCGCGGAAGCTAGATCACCTCGAGAGAAAACAACCAACACAAGCAATAACGTAATCGCAGATAAAACAATAAGAAAGGGGACGATACAAAAGATTTATGTGGTTCAGCAAACTTGCCTACGTCCATGGGAACTGCACAAATAACTTTTTATTTAACCACAAGAAATTACAAAACTTGCAAAAGAGAAGATCTCAAACTTGGGATCTCTCACAACAAACAACTCGTCACGGTAGCAAATGCTACTGGACTTGTGCAAATTTTTCTTGACCGAAAAATTCACTTCTCAAAACCCTTAAGAAGTGTCGCCACCGCCACAGTGTTTTCTCCTCTGTAAATCGCAAGATGAGCTCTATTAAATCTCGTGAACAGGATTCCCTTTTATAGGGAAACCCTGTGAATGCGTGGGGGCCACAAACCCATGTGAAGAGATCAGGTTCTCTTGGCGACGTGAAGAATTGTAAATCCGCATGAGCACTGGCCCACGACCCGAGTCCAGTACGAAGCTATATAAATAGTTTCGTAGGATTTCATGAAAACGTGTGCAAGGAGCTTTGATTTATTTTCTTCGGCGGCTTGGTGCAAGTACGAGGCGCAAGGAGGCTTTTGTGATTTGTGCGGCTACTGTGCAAGGACTTGTTTGGTTGATTGCGGCTGCGGAACAGAAGCAAGAGTGCGAAGGAGATTAATTGGTTTGTGCGGCTGCAAAAGAATAGCAGAGAGGTTTTTGCGGCTTCAGTTGAGGAGATTTTGTGTAGTCTCTTTTAGGGTTTTGTGCATCCCTTTGAGAGAGCTTTGTGAGTGATTTGAGAGTTTGTGTGAGGGTTTTATTTGTGAGATTCTTGTGTAAACCCTATTTGTATTCTCTCTTTCTCTATTAGTAGATCTCCCCCCTCATCGCCCCGTGGACGTAAGCAATTTGCCGAACCACGTAAAATTGGTTGTATCGCTTTTGTGTGATTTGTAATAGCTTTTAGGATCTCTCGATAGGTTAGTCCTAGAACTGATGAGAGGAAGAGCCAATATCTCACTTTGTTGAGATATTCGCTTTAGATTCTTGTTTCCTTGGTGAGACAGGAATTCTTATTACGACCTGACTCTCTTGTTGTGCTGCCGAAGTGCTGCCAAAATTTTCGCTGCGCGCAACAAACCCTAGGTCACGTGCTCTCCACGTTGGGAATTAGGCGAGCTCGAAACCATCAGGTGAGCTTCCTCGCCTCGTTCTCTTCAAGCTCCAGCTAGATCCCACCACGCCAGGTGACAGGCGATCTTCCTCGCTTCTCCATGCTCCTCGCCTCTCCACGCAGGTGAGCTTCCTCACCTCATGCAGGCGAGCTTCCCTCATGTTTACTTGACAGTGAGTGTCATATGCAGTTGAATATCAAATTATTGGTATGATGAATATGTATTATTGTTCGATCAAAATGACGTACGAAGAGTAACCAACATGTTAAATTAAATATATTGTTGCTTACATTTTCATCCAATAGTGTTAGATGCAAGCCAAATATATCCACATTCTTGATATTGATATTGTCCCAAATTCTAGTTTTCCTTACATTAATGATTGCATTGCTGTCTTTGGTAGTTAAATTACTAATTGTTGTGTAGCTAGCAAGCATCATCTGTGTGCCCTTTAATCTGCAGCTAAATATTGATTTCATCAGTTATGCAACATTAATTATATTTTTAACATATGAGATGGTGCAGGAATATAACAATTAACTTTCAGGACATTAACATATATCACATGTATTTTTCCCTCTTCAGGACATTGACATGATTAAT